TCTTTCCCTTTTCTGCCTAGGTTAGTTGGTAGGTATAGTGTGATAATTAGCTGGCAAGCAAATAGAGGTCCCTCCTGGATTCTCTCAGTTCAACCTCCCTCCTGATTTGTGCCTAGGGAAGAAGAAAAGGTTCATAAATTCAGCATCTGCCTCTTTAGATGTTTTTATATAATTATTATATATTATATATTCAAAGAAACCTATATTTTTAGCACTAGAATTTCTTAATAGTAGGGGGATAGGGGAAATGCAGTTTGGGAGTTGTTTTATATTTTCACTGTTTAAAGGCTTGTGTTCATTGTTCTTTAAACCAAGACCACGTGAGGGAGGATTCCTGCAGCAGCAGCAACAGGTTTCATTAAGGATCCAGGAACTGGCCCCAGCAGGAGAGGCGTAGTGTGGGGACTGGGGTGGTCCCAGAACTGGCTTTTGTATTTTTTGTGCCCAAAATCTTCACTGCGGTTGCTGAAGGGTCTAGGCCCACCATAAACCCTCTCTGTCTTTCACCAGCTGACATAGCCCCTCTCCATTTTTTTTTGGTCCAAGGCTCTCGCTCTCCACTTCTTTTGCTAATCCATCAGGCTCCGAGTGGCTGCCAGGGCAAAGCAGGACCCTGAATAAAGCCGTGCTTTTTGGGGACCCATAAGGAAAACACCATGGCATGGCCATCAGCTGATGGCGGTGGGGTCACTCCACATCATATGCTCCCAGGTGTGACTGAGGAGGAAAGAAATACACATTCAGGCTCCGTCCAGCAGCTCAGGCCAAAGACTATGCATGCAACGGGCACAGGGGATGGCAGCGGTGATGAAGTCCCATCCAGCTGGGAGCAGCTCATTAGCCAGGAGAGCCACCGGGATTGACACAAACTGAAGCTTTGCCCCTTTGGCTCAGTACGTAGTGAGAGCGTGGCAGGGTCTCGGCAAAGTAGCTCAGAAACATTTCAGGACCAGAGCCAAACTCTGCTGAAACTTGACTTGAAGCTCTCAAGAACTGGATTCTTCACCTCTCCTTCACTGTAGGTTATTAGAGATAAGAGTAGCCATTAGGTAGGAGTAAGTAGAAGCTGTAGTTTTAGTGTTGTGTCTTAGACTTGACGAAAAATGGAAGATTATAAAGAGTTTCTTTTTTGGTTACAAAAGCACTTAGGTCCTTTAATGTGAGCGATATAATTTAGCAAGAGTATAGTTGTAGTTTAAGAATCAATAAACAAGCCTTTAAAAAAAAAAAAAAAATTACCCTTGGAGTAATTTGCATCCAAATTTGGGGAGAGGGCTGGAGCCATGGAGGTGGGAGCACAAGTCTCGCACCCCCCCAGTAAAGCACGGGGCAGGCTGAGAACCAACATCTTCAGCTCATGCAAGCGGCAGATCTGGGGCTGGGGCTGCTGCTTTGCCCAGGTGCCAGAGTCTGAAGTCCCCTGGGATGCCACCACATGGCTGGGGCCGGTGTCTCGGGGCCGGGGAGCGAGGGCCATGTCTCTGGGGAGCTTTGGGTTTTAGCGTAGAATTTTATATCTGTATTGTTGATGCTTCTTTTTATCTGTTGTTTTTGTTATATTTTCCTGTTTTGGGGCCTCTATACTGATGCTGAAGAACTGCAGAGATATGTGTGCAATTTAACCTTTTTCATGGAAATTTATTTACAAATTAAAAAAAAAAAAAATTTGAGAAGAAAAAACCCTTTTGCCTCATTGTTTCCCTCCAGCACTGCCTGGGTCTGTCTGACCCTCTCCCCTGGACATCTCACCAGCCCGACCCTGGTTGAACACCCAGCCCTGGTACATGGGTACTATCACTCTTCCTCTGCGGCGCCACAGCAATTCCCATGGGGAAACTGAGGCACAAACCACCACCTGCATGGCAATGGTTTCACATCGCCTCTGCAGCACAAGGGTGACCGTGCCTGCTGGTCCGAGTCCTGGGAGCTGCTCCCAATCCCTGGAACATCCTTCCCTGCCCCTGCCGGGAGCTGCTGGGGGTGATGTGCTGTGAGCGCCTGGGACTATCCCTCTGCTTATGCCATGTCCCCACCCACCCCTGTAGTGGCTTCGGAGCCCTCCTGGGTGCAGGGCGGCGAGAGGAGCTGCACAGAAGCCGCAGGAATAGCCGAGCCCTCGTGAGGCCAATTACGCCGAGGAGCAGTTGGGCTCTGCCGAGGAAGGGAAGAAAAGCAGCGTATGCTCAGCTGCCGGCGCAGGCAGGGTTGGGGGCGGTGGGTCTGGGGGCAGCAGGTTCAGGGAGCCCCATGGGGAGGGCAGGTTTGCTCGGGGATGTGGAGCTGGGTGCGAGGCTGGCCGGGGCCAGGCTGTGGGTACCTCTCTGTGCCCACAGCTGTGGGGCAGCGCTGCCTTTTGGGATGGTGGGAGAAGGGGGCTGGAAGGGGATGCGGGAAAATGGTGGTCTGGCCCCTGTTTGGTGGCTGCCCATCTTCCCTGTCACGTCTCAGCATCTCCAGGGACAGAGAACCTTCTGGAGACCCTGCCTGAAATTTGGTCCTTCAGATGGACCCACTCCGGGATGTTCCATCCCCCTTGCACTGGGGACATAGCCCTTGTCATCTCCCCAGGACATGAGGAACGCCCTGTCACCTCCCTGGTGACCTACTGGATCCCGTCAGCACCAGGCACTGCAGCAGTCAGCCCCAGAGCTGCCTGTTTGCTTTACAGTGGTCACAGCTGCTCCCAATACAGCCAATCTCAGCCCAAAATAAGGGCTGGGCTCACTGCAGGAGCTGGTCTTGGCTCGTGTGTGCCTTGTGCTGGGAGAGCAGGATGGGGCCCTTGGGATGAGGGAGGGTTATGCCCGTGGGGGACAGCTTTAATGTGTCTGGGGGGGGCTTTTGGAGGCAGATCTGGGCTCCCCTTTCAACTTGGGGATTGTGAACCCCAAAAGGTATCAGACAATCCCTCTCCCGGCTTCTCTCTGCTTCCCCCCAGTAGCGGTGACACTGGCAGGGCTGCAAAAAGCTGGCAGTCCCCTCATCCCTCAGTTCACTTTATTTTGTTTTGCCAGGCACCACTGCATAGTTTCTGTTTTTAAACCCCCTGGAAAAAGAGGAGCCCCTAGTACCCCCACCCTGCCAGGGCACTGAAAAAAAAACCCTACCTTGCCAGGAAAAAATATTCCAGCCTGCCGGAGCCAGTTGAGGGTTTTAAAGTGAGAAAGGGTGAATATAAAGGAGGCACCAGGCGAGGCCTGAAACAACCTCGTTTTGTTCAGCTTCTGAAAGCAACAAAACCAACTTGGACGTGGGTTGGTTTTTTTCTTTCAATGAGATGGTTTGGGGGGGTGGGGTGTATTTTTTTTTTTTTTTTTCTTAAGAAGCAGCCAGGAGGTGCACAAGGGGGGGTGCTCTGGGGTGGGAGCATCGCTTCCCGCGGGTATGGAGACAGGCAGGACACCGCACTGCTGCCCGCACAAAGCCCGTGTGTGCTCGGGGCCAAGGTTGGTGCCAGGAGAGAGGTCGGGACCCGGCAGCGTCCGACCTGCCTGGGCTTGCCGGCGGCAGCAGGGTTACAGCCCGTGGCTGGGGCTGGTCCAGCTCTGTGGGCTGCTCCGGCTCGCTCAGCACAGGGGTGGTGATGGGTTGGGGACCCCCAAGCTGGTGGTGGTGTTCTCCCTGCTCTACGTGTGGGTAAAGCATCGTACAGTGAAAACCCAGATCACTGCGGCCCTGAGCCAGCTACAGTTTTTGGGGCATCCCACCACTGGCACCCACCAAAGCGGGTTGGGGAAGCACCCAGCTCCAAAAACTCCCTGTAAACTCAGCCTTCGCAGCCCCAGCCAGGTCCTTCCCCTGCTAGTTATTAAGCACATGGCAATTATTCCTTTATTATTTATTTCTGCTATTTCCCCCAGCCGTCCCCTCATCCATCATCCTTCCTTGATGGGCAAACATTGACACCTCAAACCAATCTCCCGTTCACAGAGAGGGGGAAAAAATATACACATAAGCCCTTCTTTTCTCTCCTTTTCTTGCCATGTCTTTCTTTCCCCTCCATTGAGTGTGCGGCTGGCACAGAGCCATTCTGGCAACAGCCGGCTTTCACTTGCTAATCATCCTAAATATTGAAAATCAACGCCTAGAATAAACAGCTCAAAGATTGGGGCCATCTCTGCTCTGTTTGGAAATGCTAATCTCGCTGCCTTTTGTTTTCCTTGTGTGGATTTGGTGCTGTGCGTTTGGAGGAGGTCACAGCTCATGGGTTCTCCCTCCACCCCCAGATTTCTCTTTTTTTAAAAAAAAAAAAATATTCCTCCCCCCATCGTGAAAAATTCAGCCCATTTTAACATCCCGGGCTGGGACAGCCGGAGCGGTATGGGGGCAGAAGGGGGAGACAGGATGGAGGAGAGTAGGGAATGGACTCGCCTTGCATAGCAATGAATGAACCTCCAAAGTTTGGGAAAAAAATAGGTTCCCAAATGTGCATCCAGGAGTTCACAGGGATGAGAAATCTCATGGGAACAGCACTTGGGCAGGGAGCTCCATCTCAGGTACAGCAGGTCCCTGGGGGAAACAGGGATGGGGATGGCACCTGGGCAGCCTGGCCACCAG